CTACTGATGTTAATCCCTCTCCCTCACACTGTCACTCAGTAACCCCTCTCCCACCCCCAGCGCCCTGTGTCACTGACTGTATCCCTACGGATGTTAATCCCTCTCCCTCACACTGTCACTCAGTTACCCCTCTCCCCTCCCCATCACCCTGTGTTACAGACTGTATCCCTACTGTTGTTAATCCCTCTCCCTCACACTGTCACTCAGTAACCCCTCTCCCCTCCCAGCGCCCAATGTTACTGACTGTATCCCTATTGATGTTAATCCCTCTCCCTCACACTGTCACTCAGTAACCCCTCTCCCCCCGCCACCCCCCAGATCGCTGTGTTACTGACTATATCCCTACTGATGTTAATCAGTCTCCCTCACACTGTCACTCAGTAACCCCTCTCCCCGCCCATCACCCTGTGTTACAGACTGTATCCTTATTGATGTTAATCCCTCTCCCTCACACTGTCACTCAGTAACCCCTCTCCCCCCGCCACCCCCCAGATCCCTGTGTTACTGACTGTATCCCTACTGATGTTAATCAGTCTCCCTCACACTGTCACTCAGTAACCAGCTTGAAGAGTTGTATATAGTTTGCAAAGCTCTCCTTGACTTCATAATGCTGATCTGTTTCCAGTTGTCAGATCATCTCAGGTTGGGCAAAATATTTTGATTATTTAATCTGAGTCAGACTGACCTAGAGTAAAAGGTTAGCTTGTGCAGAGGCTTCCAGTTTTAACAAACACAGTCCGCAGTGTGAGAGAACTGTGGTCACAGTCTGATACTGATCCTGTGTCCTTCTCCCGACAGACAGGGAAGAGCCAAACAACAATAAGATAACAATTCCCATGAAAGAACTGTGAGAGACAGAGGGAAATACAAAGACATAACCAAGGACAAAAACAGAGACAGTCCCAAGGGAGGCAGGAGGGAGAGAATGTGAAAAAGAGAGGGAGACAGCGAATTATGGAGAAAGGGATGCAACACGAGGACTGGGAAATAATGTGGGAGAGAGAGTGGACTTGAGTGAGGCTTAGTGAGGTAGAGAGAGAAATTGAGAGAGGTAGTGAGAGAGAGAGAGAAATTGAGGGAGAAAGAGATTGAGTTAGGAAACTGCACACAGCTGACCTATTCCTCTGGCCCCTGCACTGTCCAGTCTCCTGACTCATTCTCCAGGGAGAGAGAGAGAGAGAGACAGAGAGAGAGAGAGGTGTGTTGGGGGTGGGGTCGAATAGATAGGGGCAGAGATAGACAGATAGAAAGAGAGAGGGGTGAGATATGGAAAGGAGCAGACAGAGAATAAATGTGCCAAGAAAGAGAGAGTAGGAGCGAAAGAGGGAGGTAGAGACGAGACCCAGAAAGTGGCTGACCTGTTCCTCTGGTCCCTGCACTGTCCAGTCTCCTGGCTCATAGCTGAAGATACTGTTGTGCTGAGCCTGCAGCCTCAGGCCTTCACTCTCCGCTCCTCGGAGTTCCAGCTCCTTCCTGCAGACCAGAAAGGAAATGCCAAATCAAGCGTTATGGTTGCTTAGGGAGATGAGAGCCAAGGCTGAGCTCTTGTTGGTGAAACTCCACATTTCACAACATGTTGAGACTCCAGTGTGTGGCTGTGCTGAACACAAACACATCGCTCACATTCCACACTCGCTCTTTCATTGCACAGTCACACAAAATAAGGCAACATCTTCCTGCAGATTGCTCTTGCTCTATTTCTCAGCAGCTGCCTGAAAGGGAACCTGGTCTCTTGCTCTCCCACTTCTGGGGCCTCCTGACAAGAACAGGAGGAGGCCTTTCAGCCCCTCTAACTAGTCAGAGGCAAGCAGCATGAAAATGGAAAGGGGTAGAGAGAGAGGGACAATGGGGTGGGAGAATATGTGAATGGGGGGGTGCATGAAGAGACAATGGGAAGGAGAGAGAATGAGGGGAGAGGCAGTTAGGGGAGGGGGGTTAGTGGAGGGGGGGTTAGGGGAGTGGGGTTTAGGGGAGTGGGGTTTAGGGGAGTGAGGGTTAGGGAGAGGACATGAGGTAAAAGGGGGTTAGGGGAGAGGGGATAGGGAGAGGGGTTTAGGGGAGTGGGGATAGGGAGGGGGGTTTAGGAGAGTGAAGTTAGGAAGAGGGGGTTTAGGGAAGAGGGGGTTTAGGGAAGAGGGGGTTTA